TCTGTAGAGCCGTTTTTCTATCCGAGCAATAATTACGAAAAACACCGTTTAGTACGAATTACTCGTTCGATCGGTAATAACAGGAAGGTCCAGGACCCTCTTAATGTGTAATTGTAATTTATATATTTACAACTACTAATATATATATATTTTGTTTCTTTTTTTCTAGAGAATATTCAATACAGAAGATTGTTAAACAACTTACTGCCAATTTATATTCTACTGACCGACTTGAAAAAGTAAGGTTTTTCTTATTTCAAATATCTCTCTTAATATATTCAATATTAATTAATTATAGTAGTGCCTCAAACTTTTTCCGCTTTTCGGTTTTCCGCGGAAAACTTTCGAGAGAGGTATGTGTCACTGTATATGTATAACTAGTAGGATCATTTGATGATAATAGCGTCGAAGAAATGCTACAGCGCATGAGTCGTATTACTACTAACAAGCGTTTCAAAATTTATAATACATGTGTATAAAAATGGATAATATAGAACTGTATAACATTTTAAACATTTGCAAGCCACAATTTACACTTTATTTTGGAGGACAATAATTTCTTTTATTTTGTCCATGGTTTTAAATAATTTGATGTACTTAATTCACACAGAAAATATTTTATTTCTGTTATTATAAATAACAATACCTTTCTGAATGAGATGGAAAACGAAAAAAGAGAGAGTTAAATGATGATTTACACTAGAATTCTCATTTTGGCCAATCGTACGGAACTGTTAGTGTATCTTTCTAGTTCGATCGCCGCTTTTTCAGCTACGTCAAGTGTGAAATTCGCGGAGGAAATTGTGTGGCCTTGATTCCAGACGCTGACGGTTCCATCGGAATTGCTTTACGAAAATCGGACACCAAAAAACCGACTGAGTACGTCGATATAACGGGCGACACGTTAAAGTGCGTCTAGATTTTCCAGTAGCTCTTGTCGATTTTCAACCGGAAACCGGCATGTTTGAAACGACTGAGTGATTGAGGTAATGCTTGATAGCGATCTTGAAAGTAGCCTTCATCGCGGTTTCGTCCCATCAAAAAAAAGCGGCGTGTGCGTCGGTTCCCATAAAATTTGTGACGACAATCCATTTGTTGAAACATTTTCACGGTTTAAAAACAACATTATTATACACAAAAAAAGTCACTATTGTAAGAGTGGTCGTGGTGTTGATCATTTTGAGCAAAACTGTTCATTCTATACTATATTATAATATACATATACATATATATATATATATATATATATATATGTATATATATATATTTAATATATAGTATATATTACATAGTATATATTAAATATTACCGCCTATATATAATATATACATTATACACTATATATATAATATATATATATAATATATAATATATATATTATATATAATATATATAATTATATAATATCTATTATATGTACTAATCACTAGTGGTTTGAATCTTCGCTAAGTAATGTGTTTTAGCCGAGACTCGAACCAGTAGTGATTTGAATCTTTGCTAAGTGATGTGTTTTATCCGAAACTCGAACCACTAGTGGTTTGTATCCTTGCTAAGTAATGTGTGTTTTTAACTGATACTTGAACCACTAGTGGTTTGAGTCCTTGCTAAGTAATGTGTTTTAGCTGAGACTCTAACCACTAGTGGTTTGAATTTTCGCTAAGTAATACTGGTGTATTTGTTCTGAGAATTGTCGGCTGTTATCTTTGATTAGAGATTCGATCACGGTCTCGATCGCCGCAGAGTTATTCTCACCAATTTGTGCGAATCTTTCTAGGAGGCAAAGCAATTTTAGGAAGGTGGGAATAACTTCCGGAAAAAGATTGAGAAAACAAAGCGGAAAATTTTTAAGGCACTACTGTAATTAATACCATTTGTTTTTTTATCAGTAACATCTAAACTGACAAGAATCTAACAATATTTATTATATTCAATAATATCAATGAACAATATTTATTATAACTTATTTTAGATAAGCAACTTCGTAAAAAATAACTACGACAACGAAACATTCAAAGAGATTGAAACCATGATAAATGAGCGTAAAGCTGCAATATCTGATTTAATTGCTGAATTTCCAGTAGATGAAATATTAAGAATTTTAAAAGATTGAATCTACAAGCGTCATATGTATGCTTATAATGTTTATCTGTATCGTGGTATTACCGTTATTATAAAAAAAAATTTGTAGTTGAAAATAAGAGACACATGGAAAATTCTAATACATATTAAAAAATATGAGCATCATACGCGTATGTTTGACTTGCCATCTTCATTTCTTGTAAGTCTCGCTGCGCCAGAAGCAAACCAAAGAAATTTTCTTATTTCTAATAGAAATATAAATATTAAGCTTGATAAAATATAAACGAAACGAATAAATTTAGTTGATTGATAATTTTTAACGTGGTACATCGCACTTTAACGCAAATTCTTTTCCCTTTTTATATGTCGAACGACTTTTGCGATTTATTTGGTAAAATAAGTGCGCATTTTGCTTGCTTCCTCGAGAGAGAATAATTCTTTACACATTTTAGCTCTTAAACTTATTAAGACACTTCTTGAAATTCTATCTTGAAAACCTATTTAAACGCGAGATTATCCGTATATTATCCACTAAATTACAGTACAGTCGTTACCGCGGAATAGAATCTTGTGCGATCTCGGTGTAAGTTTTATGGATAAAATATAATTAAGACATTTACACTTTTACTTTAAAGTCGATGTAATTACATAATAATTGTTTACGCGTAGTGCAATTGAACTCGCTTTTAAACAAATATATTGCTCGACAAACAAACAATAAAATTAAACTTTAAAAGTATGTTATAAAATGCCTGCTTGTGTGTAACGTGCGAGTCATAGAAAAATTCATATCGAGTATTGTTTGATACTCGCTAGCTCTCGTATGCTAATGCATCGACTTCATTTGAAGTTTGAAAAGTAGCGCGACTTCTTTCTGGAAATTGCATAAAATTAAACTTGAGCCTTGAACCTGATACCTCGCCTCTATTGCTTAATGTGCCTGTTACGCTTTATTACATCGCTACAGTCAATGTGACTGTGGCGATGAAAACATATAGCTACATCACGTATGATGAAGACGATATTCTCTAATAGTGTACCGTGCAACGTTGTTAAAACAGAGTTTCATTCTGTGGATCCGCAAGGTACGTACATTTGCATTGCGCTCTTTTTTTGCGCTCTTATAAATTTTTGAGAAAGAGAGAGAGAGAGAGAAAGAAAATTAGTTCGATCGCAGAAACTATCGACAGCGAAGATCGCTTGAAAATAGCGGTGGAAAATTTTTGCATACAATATTATTTTTGATGAGTTATTAATTAAATAATTTTAATTATTCATTTGTTGCAGAATGTTGCGCGAAATTGTTCTCACGTGCGTTTTCGCGCTGCTCGCAGCGCACGCTATTGTCGTTCGGAATTCGAACCCGGACAATGCGGAAGCGAATTATCGGCTTCCGAATCACACGAAACCGCTGTTCTACGATCTCAAATTGAATCCGCATCTGGTGCCAAATAATTTCACATTTGACGGCGAGGTGTTCATTCACATTGAGATTACGAAAAAAACGAACACTTTGACGCTTCACGCGAAAAAACTGCTGATAGACGAGAACAAATCTTTTCTGAAAGCCGGACTTGATTTCTACGTTCCTTTCGCTCACGTTCGCGACAATTCGACCGACATGTTGAACTTACACTTCGATGAGAAGCTTGTCGCCGGATATTACGTTTTGCACTTGAAATTCTCGGGCGTGCTGAGCGACAGGCCGTACGGATTCTACAGAAGTTCTTACGTTAACGACGCAGGAAATGCAGCGTAAGTAAATTGTTTCTTCACCGGTTTTTTACATGGCGAATCTTTTTTTTAAGAGAGCACACGTATATATAAATAGAAAAACCATAAAAATAAATACATACAAAATTATAATACATATAATAATTGTTTTTCCTCAAAGAAAACAAAACAAAAATAACAAAAACTGTGGGCGCATTTATTTATTGTGACATACTGGGTGTCGCAGAAGAAAAGGTCAACATTCTGATGATCATTGTAAGCAAATTGTTCAAACGTGTGTCCCATTTCGAACGGTTTCCGAGATTGATTGCGAAATTACTGTTGATGAGAAAGAGATACCGCGTGCTTGTTCTATAACAATTCACTGTTTGAGTGACACACTTTTTAAAGTTTATAATAAATTTTCAAAAATTCTATCTTTAATAGCACTGCAATTTTTTCATTCTTGTTTTATTTTTCCACATTTTGTTAATGTCTTCGTTTAGATAAAAAATAAACACTGAGAAGCATTCACTGAGAAGCACTTTCACGCAATTATCGAAAACCTTGGATAGGGTTCGATCACTCTACGATCGAGAATTTTGAACGTAGAAAGCGTGCAGACGATATTCTTCAACAGCAGTTGTAACACTACTAACGCAGAAGCATAACTGCAAATTCGACGTTTGTATTAGGTCTACCGGAAAGTTCTGTCCGTTTTTGGAATAAAACAAAATACAAATTTTTCCAAATTTAAGACCATGTTGGAGCAAGATCCTTTTCTGACAACATCGGAAATCGCAGAAAGGCTTGATTCAGCTCAGCAAACCATTTCGGAACATATTCGGAAGATAGGATTAAAAAATTTGTATTTTGTTTTATTCCAAAAACGGACAGAACTTTCCGGTAGACCTAATATATGCGGTATCGCGCGCAAAATTCAAACTATTTCGGAAACCGCTCGATACGAGACACGAGTTTAAATGAATGAACATTTTTGCTCAAAATGACCAACACCACGACCACTCACACAATATTGACCTTTCCTTCTGTATAACAATGTTGTTTTTAAACCGTGAAAATGTGTTTCAACAGATGGTTTGCCGTCACAAATTTTATGGGAACCGACGCACGCGCCGCTTTTCCCTGCTGGGACGAGCCCGCGACGAGGGCTACTTTCAAGATCGCTATCAAGCATCACCTCAATCAGACAGTCGTTTCAAACATGCCGGTTTTCGAACGGTCGAAAATCGACGAGAGCGACGGAAAAATCTGGACGCATTTCGAGATGTCGCCCGTCATATCGACGTACTCGGTCGGTTTCCTGGTGTCCGATTTTCGTAACATAAGCAATTCCGACGGAACCGTTAGCGTTTGGAGTCGAGGCAACACAATTTCCTCCGCGAATTTCGCACTCGACGTAGCCGGGAAAGCGGCGATCGAATTGGAAAAATACACCAACGGTTCCGTACGATTGGCCAAAATCGATCACGTTGCGCTTCCCAGTTTTCACATCAGAACCACGAAAAGTTTGGGTCTCGTCACCTACAGGTAACTTCGTGATGTAGATCCACGCGAGCAAAATCCACAATCGCAAACATATAATAAAATGTGTTTTAAACACGTTTTAATTATTTTTTATCCGCAGAGAAGCTATGATGTTGCACGACGGAAACAGTCCCATTGATCGATTGTACAGAATCGTGGAAAATATAGTTCAGCAGACGACCTATCAGTGGTTCGGTAATGTCGTCAGCCCGTCCTGGTGGACCAGCATATGGTTAAACGACGGACTGGCTGAATACTTCTCGTATTATTTTGCCGACAAGGTAGAAAATGAAATAATTTTTATACCGCACTTGTGTGATTTTATATCATAAATAAAACTATTGTTTAATTTCTACAAATTAAATGCAATTAAATAAATACGCAGAAGAATCTGCACGAATATTGAGTTAGTCATTCTGTTTCAGATGTACAAAGATTGGCGATTTATGGAATGGTTTTCGGTGAAAACACTAAATCTGATATTGATGACCGAAAGCTTCAGGAACGTAGAACCTCTTGACTTCGTGCCCACCACTGTCGAAGAAATTGACTCGAAATTTACACAAAATCTTGACAAACACAAAGGTATAATATGTATTTAGTTACTAAACGAACCCGTTTACAACGTAACAATTTTTTTATGAATTTTCAACAAGACAATTTTTCCCTAAAACAAAATTACGATTGTTGTTTCAGCTGCTCTGTTCCTGCGGATGCTGTCACACTGCGTTTCCGACGACGTATTTCACGCAGGACTTCTCAAATATCTCAAGATGCAGTCAGTAAAAAATATTGCATTTGAGAATGTTATATTTTTAGTAACAAAAATGATTTTTTTAAATTCTTTAAGTTTTCATAAATAACTTTAATTAGCTCTTGTAAACTTTTAAACGAATAAACAAATCGTTTTTACTTTTGAAATAGCGAGTACGGCGTAGCGGATCCCGAGGATTTGTGGACCGCTTTGCAAGATACACTCGACGAATCAACAGTTTCGATTAAGTTCCAGATCCGAGAAGTAATGAACTCGTGGATCAGACAGAATGGATATCCGCTTGTAACGGTGATTTCAGACACTCTTACCAACAGAACGACCATCACGCAAAATTATTTTCAACCGTACGAAAAACTGAATACGCACGAAAATATCATCGACGCGGACAATGCGAACAAAAGGTGGTGGGTTCCGATCAACTTTGCAACTCGTAGCAATCCGAATTTCGCATCAACCTTGGCCACGCACTGGTTATCGCCGAATGTCAAGGAGCTCGTGATCGAAGACATCGATCCGGAAGATTGGATAATAATTAATATTCAGCAAACAGGTAAGATTGCTTGCGAATCTAGCAGTTGCTCGCAGAAGTAAAAAAAAAAAACATCTTCTCGATTATGTTGCAGGTTTCTATCGCGTAAATTACGACACGGCAAACTGGTTGAAAATCGCTGATTATCTGGATTCTGAAAATTACACAAAAATACACGTGCTGAATCGCGCCCAAATAATTAACGACGCGATTTACTTAGTGTTGTCGGACAAGTTGGAGCCGAGACTCTTTATGGAAATCACAAGATACCTGCAACGCGAAACTGATTACATAGCGTGGTATCCGTTATTTGAAATTCTTGAGAGCGCCGGCAAGTATTTCGCTTATAACGGCGCGGGCAAACTGTTTGATGTAAGTTTTATATTTTTTTATAATTAATGAAATTTTACATAAAACATGGATACGCAGTTAATTATTATGATTTTTGTAGCAGTAGACTTTCTGAGACACTTTTTTATGTACAAGATTGTGAACACGTTAAGGAATAATAAAAAAAACTTATATATTGCAGTCGTACGTTTTCGATTCGATGAACAATATTATAGACAGTGTGGGTACGCGAGATCGCTCGAATGACGATTACATCACAAAACTGATACGACACAGGATTCTTAAAAAAGCGTGCGCCTTCGATCATCCTACATGCTTGCGAGAGGCTCATGATCAATTAATCGCGTATTTGGAAAATTCAATGGCGAACAAGTAAATATATATTTTACAGTATATACATAAAGTATATATTTTATATATAAAATAAAACACACACACACTTTTTTCAACATTTTGCTACCATTAGATTTATTTGTTATATGAAAAACTTGTGATTTAATTTATTTGCTGAAAATAAATATTGAGAGAGAGATTTTCTTTTTTTTTTTTTATAATATTTATATAAAATTGTGTTTCAGTTCTCTACCCTCGTACAAGAAGGACTGGATATTTTACAACGGCATAAAGCTTGCAAATGAAACCACGTGGAATAAACTCTTTTACATGTATCAAAATCACTCCGAGCCGCTCGTTTACTGTCTTGGACAATCCAAGAACGCAACTATTATCGAGAAGTTTTTAAATACGACCATAACGGAGGATCCACTAGAACCGAGAGATATCATTCGTGTGCTCTATTCCGTATTAGATGGAGGTTATCCCAATATCGACATTGCGATGGAGTTTGTCATAAATCACTGGGACAAGCTTACAACCATGTAATTGATATCTCATATCAATCTTATATACATCTAATTTTTCAATCTTGATTTAAAAAAATTAATTAAATTTTATTTTAGATTTACGGATAATGTTACTGAGTTGTTATATAATGTGCATTGGAATCTCGTTTCTAGAGAACATATTCAAAAGGTACGCAAATTTGTTTTCCTACATCTTATACATATCAATTTTTTTTTTTAGTTTTTGTTAGTAATTGCTATATATATAATCTCTCTCTTGCTTATATAAATGTTCTAAATAAACTCAAAAAAATTTTTTTCAGGCAAAAGCATTTCTATATAGTCGGAAAATAGAAATCCCGAAGTTCATAAAACTTCAAGAGCAGAATTTACCCATGATAGAATCAGCAATAAACAATATTCGCTCATGGTTAGAACACAGAAGTTCACACTTGCCTGAATAAAAAATACCCTCGTCGCATTAGAGATATCTGTCATCTTTTTTTTTTCGATAATATAAATAAAACCAAAAAGTTATAATCGATTTTATTTATTGTTACTCTTTATGACACAATCATTTTTATCGTCTGTGTTTATCTCGCCACTCATTTCTTTAAACTCCAATAAATCTCAGTGAGTAAATGAAAAACAGAGATGTAATGTTTTTGTTAACGTTTAAGCGTTACAAACAATTTTGCGTGCTCGAACCACGAGCAATCTGAGATACATTATTGATATCAACATTGATTTTTGATAATTTTTTCCACACATGTGTATCTGACAATTCACAATCGTCGGTTAAGATTAGATAATTGCTGAATATTTACGATATACTTTTACAAAAAAAATATTTTGAAACGCAAATAAATAATTAATTTAAATTTATGTATAAAGGTTTTTATTGGCTTATTATTATATTATCTGACACTTTTTTTACATATCTTTTTTTATGAGATACAATATTCTTGATTAAATGGTATAAACAAGGCATTTTATCTTTTCTCTTATATTGGTGAATTTTTTATCAATTTATTAATTTCTCTTATAATATAAGATAGTGTTCCTAATTTGTTTATTTTGTACATATTTATTTTATTCTTTTCATTTATATTCGCTGGTATCGATAATAAACTTGTTACTCTTTCTAATGAGGAAACATTAATGTGACATACATAGTTTTAAATAAAACTTCTAAATGTTTATATTATACGTAAAGTTATATACAATTTATGCTTGTGTACTCGAGAACTTGTACATTTTGTGTTTGTATTAACAAAATATTATATCCTTACTAAAAATTTATAATATAATATTTAAATTAAAACATATTACTATCTATATCATTTTTTTTCTGTAATAACATACATATGGTTCAATTGGTATCATAAAGATTATATCGCTCAAAAGTCAACGAGTATCTATACTGATATCTGATTTATGCAAGTGTTAAATGTCATGGACAATTATTTTTTACATAAATCTATTAATTATTTTTACATAAGTCTATTATTATTGATGTTGATATTGTAAAAAATAACTTGTGTTGAAATATTATAGAAGATTATAATTAGTATGTGTTTATAGATCTTCTAGTATTATAAAGATGTTAATATAAAATTTAATACAAAATCAAATGTATGAATATAAATGTAATTGAGAATGTGTGTGTGTGTGTGTATTGAGGCGCACGTAATTATAATTACATATCGTTTATTTATCAATTATCTTATCAAAAATAAAATATTATACAAGAATATATTATATTATTTTTGTTATCTCAGGAAATATTTGATGAAACAAAATTTTATCGCAAATGATAATATCTAATCTATTATCAGTAAGATTGTTCAAAGCCCAAACAATATTTGTCATAAAATCTTTATTTTTTATTTAAACAAAATGTACGTTTGTAATTGAGCAAAAATGTATATCGATTTGGATTATTTATTTAAGTACATCTATGATTAACACGCCGTTTGCAGTAAACTTGTTGATAATTGTTTAAGTTCTCTGATCTAAAGCTTTTTTTATTTTTATCGCAATTGTTTTCTATCGCAATTAATTTATTGAATCACAATAGCGCATCGTGTTATTTTACGAAAAACAAAATCATAGTTTTTTTTAGAAAGTGATAATATTATTAATCATAAACTTGATAAGATAGTGAGTGATACAGGTCGCAAAATGACGACAACAAAAAGCAAATCGCGATTGAACAATCTGTCATTTTAAAATCTGATTGAAAGCCGTTCGCACGTATCGCATCTTCGGATACAGGCTGTGAAAATTAAATTTCGTTTGTGTGTGTATGTGTGTGGGTGTGACAACATTTGTACACTGACGTTGGTTTAAGTTATACAGAAACGTGATATATAATAATGAAAGTAAATTAGTTGTTTTAAAACTTTTTATCGCGTTATAGAAAACGTGCGCGCGTGCGCGCGCTTATTTTATTGTTAACTGTAGTTGCATACAGAGGTGATTATCAAAAACTAAAGCAATGAGAAAACAATAATTTTCTTTAAATGCAATATTTAACAAAGGTAAGTAAAACCTAGTTTTGCTCTTCAGATCACATTTTATCGCTTCATACGTATCGATAGAAACGTTAAATCCAACATGACATAGTTATCTTAATTGATAACTGCGTGAAGAAATAATCAGTGTTTGCGATTGACTTCTTTGCACAATTTAAATAAAAATTATACGCGATTGCAATAATCTTTCAGATGAAAATGTTCTGGAAATATCTGTTACTCTACACTCTAATATTTTTGTACGGCGGCGCAGCGGACAAATTACATTCTGATGAAGGTAACAGAGTCAGGTTTTTTTTTTTTTCATATTTGTAATAATATATTTACTTAATATTTTTCAAGATACATTTATTTACAAAAAAAAATACAAAACTGCACATATTCAAAAACAGAACTAAGTGTTTCTGATTTTATAAAAATTAGTAGCAAACTAATAACTCTATAATTTTTTCACCCCACTAATGGCTTCATACTGTAAAAGTTTGCATTAGTTATAGAAAAATCGGCAAATATATATTGACAGTTTTTTACATCTTGTAGAAAAAATGTCAATATATATTTGCTGATTTTTCTATAAATTTCTATAATTTTTTCGTAAACCCGTTCTATCGTTTCTCTAGATGCGCTTGAGCAAACTACAGATATATCGCAACAAGATGACACGGATTACAGACTGCCAACGTCTGTCAAGCCTGTCTCATACGACATTATCCTTATAACTCATTTGCCGAACAACTTCGAATTTGACGGGTTTGTGAAAATCAATGTCTTAATAGAGACTGATACGCGAGAAATTACTCTACACGTGGGACAACTTACAATCTCGTATCCCGTGAACGTTGTACATAACAACACGCGCATTGACGGTGTCACGTACAAATACGACAACATCACTGAAAAATACACCCTCAGCATCCCTAAACTTCTTACTAAAGGAGAAAGCCTGATAATCGGTTTTGACTACAAGGGATTTCTTAATGACAACATGATCGGATTTTACAGAAGTTCTTATTACGACGAGAAGACCGGGGAGCTCAAGTGAGTTCAAGTTCGCGTATTTTGTATGTGATTGAAATAATTCGGATTTTTGATTGTTGAAAATTTCACCAGATGGCTGGCCGCGACGCAGTTTCAAACCACTCACGCGAGACACGCTTTTCCGTGTTTCGACGAGCCGAGTTTCAAGGCAACATTTATCATTCGCATCTTGAGAAATGAAAAGTACACTTGTCTCAGCAATATGCCGCTGACCATGACTGTCAGTTCATCACAGTAAGTTCACACGCTAAGCATCAACGATTTTGATTTAAAATGTATTTAATTTTCGTCATTCGTTATTATTTTCTTTTAAGAACGACCGTCTGGGACATCTTCTACGAGAGCGTTCCCATGTCCACTTACTTAGTGGCGTTCGTTATTTCGGAATTTGATTCTCTCAAGAATTCGGAACAGTTTAAAACATGGGCCAGGCCGTCCGTTGTCAGTCAGAGCGAATACGCGTTGACAATCGGCGATCAAGCTGTCAAACTGTTCGAAAATATGTTCCAAGAAGAATACAATCTTCCCAAAATGGACATGGTGGCTGTGCCCGATTTTTCGGCGGGTGCCATGGAAAATTGGGGACTGATTACGTATCGCGAGTCTCGGATGTTGTACGACAAGGAAGAATCGTCGGCGCTGGCGCAACAGAGCGTGGCCTCCGTCGTCGTTCACGAAATCACGCACATGTGGTTCGGAAATCTGGTGACACCCAGCTGGTGGAACTATCTCTGGCTCAGCGAAGCTTTCGCCAGATATTTCCAATACTTCGGGACCGCAGAAGTAAGAGAGAAAGAGTTAAACTTTTTAAATTTTCAAGTGCAACAGTCGAATAAAACGAATTAGTGGTTTAAAACTATATTTGTAAAAATTTCAATTTACAACATATTTCTCTATTCTCTTATTGTTGTCACTTGTGAGCTTAATACTTTTTTTTAAAAATTAAAATTATCGTCCTGAAATAACACTTCAATTCTTAACACCGTCCGCGCGGACGGTGTTAAGAAATTCAAAGAGAGACAAGAGTTTAGATTTGCATTTTCTTGACACGTAGATCGAGGCATCGTGGAACATGGGAGAGCAATTCGTGGTCGAACAACATCAGCCTGTTTTAATAACGGACGGTCTTGAATCTTCACGTCCGATGACTCGCGAGGTTTTTAGTCAGTCGCAAATCGCGGGAATGGGAGACAGCATTACCTATCAAAAAGGAGCCAGTATTGTTCGTATGATGAGACTTACTTTCAATGACTTCGTCTTTCAATCCGCACTAGTCAGCTACATAAAAGACAAGTAAATGTTACAAGAAATTACATAAAAAATACAAATAGATTTTAAACAACTTCCTCACTAAAAAAAATGTGCGCTCAATCTAAGACTTCAGTTTGTTGAGGCGTTATATCGAATCAAGTAAATTTAGTAAAAGAGATTGAAATTTGAAATGGCAGTAATGTGAAAAATTAACAATATATAAATATCATCATTGTAATCAAAAAATTCGTCTGTTTTAAGCAAAATAAAAGGCTTGAGTCATCCGGATGCTTTGTGGAAAGCAATACAAGATCACGTGACGAGCGCAAACTTGAATCAAAAAATATCTGTGAAGGAAATAATGGAGACCTGGACCATGCAAGCCGGATATCCCGTGATATCGGTAACCGTTAAAAACAAAATCATTGATGTCACCCAAGAGCGCTTTCTTCTGAGAAATTTAGACAACACTTTGAAAAATGTGACTTGGTGGATCCCTCTCACCTGGACCACGCAAAACAAACCAAACTTTACCCACACGATCCCACAACAGTGGCTGTCTACCGATAAAATTGCTGAGAAAATTTCCGTGAATGTCACCGACAAAGAATGGGTTATATTCAACATTCAATCATCGGGTTAGCAAAACGCGCTTTTGTCCGCGCAACAACTTATAGAAATTTATATAAAAATCTGACGTCGCAAATAAAAACAAAAAAAAAAAACATTTCGTAAAAATCTCTCATTTGAATATTGCGTTAATATATTGTTGTGTCATTGCAGGTTTTTATCGCGTACAATACGATAGAGATGGATGGAGACGGATTTTCGACGTCTTGAACAGCGACAAGTTCGAAGAAATTCACGTGTTAAACAGAGCCGGTATCGTGGACGATCTGTTAAATCTGGGTAGAGCCGGTTATCAAGATTACGATACGGTTCTGAATGGCATAATGTATCTTGCACGAGAAACGAATTATTTGCCGTTCAAAGCGGCATTCAACGGTTTGGATTATTTGAATAAGAAATTTGCCGGATACACAAATCATTCGTTATTCAAGGTTGGTTTAATTTGCGAGCAAAAATGATTTTTTTTTTTTTTACATGAATTTTTACGACAAAGAATAGACGACGCGCGCACGATAACTTGCGCATCTTTGCGGAAAGCATCTTAGTTAATTGTTTTCGTGATTATTTATTGCTTCTAGAAATACGTCTTATCTCTTATCAGCGGCAGGCGCAAAGAATTGGGATACGAGGACAAGGACAGCGATGATAGACTAACCGTTTTATTACGACGAGAGGTAAATAATTGGGCCTGCTTGAATCTGGAGGACGAGGAATGTATAACGACTTATTTGCACAAATTCAAAAAGTGGAGACAAAATAAAATCCCGTAAGAAACAATTTCTAACTGTTCTATTCTGCCTTTTATTACACACGTATGTGTAATATTTTTATTACAACTGTATTGTACAGAAGACAAAAAGATAGAAACAATTAATTATAAGATAGAAACAATTCAGAAAAAAATTATTATCTAATTTTTTACGATATATAAATTGTTTTTCGTTACTTGTTCAACTTTGGTTTTTGTTCGTTAATCTGTGTCGTCGATTGTTATTAGATTTATCTCTTACGTGAACGTCATATTGTTTAACATTAACTTCGTAGTATCAAACCGAATGAAAGGACCGCAGCGTACTGCGTGGCAATGAGATATGGCACTTCCGATGACTGGGAATTTTTATGGAATAAGTATTACACCTCCAATCATGCGGCTGATCAAACGGTGATCATAAGCGCTCTCGGATGCAGCGAGAACGTCAACATTTTGGAAAAGTGAGAATCTAGAATTTAGTGGCGCAACATTTAACAAACTGAAAACGCAGACGCTTGACCTAGATAAATGCCTGATAATAAATACCTGATGATGATGTTCGAAGTGACGAGTCGGAAACTAGAGATTGAAACTTTTCCGTCGGCTTCTGCAGCTTCGTTCGACTTAAAAAAAAAAAAAACAAAAAAAATTTTTTCTTACTATAATTTAATTTCTTTTTATTCAGATATCTAAAATACGCCATCGCCGGTTACGAAACCAGCCGAATTCGCAAACAAGAAAGCACCAACGTATTCGCTGCCGTTTACAACTCCGGCTTGATCGGTGCCGAGTACGTACTCGATTTCGTCGAGAAATATCACGAAGAGATGGAGAAATAGTAAGTTGTCCGTATTAATTATTAAATATAACAATTGCAACACACGGATAATTTAATAATAATACAATAATTTAAATTTATCGATTTAATATATTCATATTTTATTTATTTTATGTAATTTGTATCATAATTTTGAAACAAAATCATTTGTGAATTACTTGGTTAGCTACGGAGGACAGAGTACGATAGCCAGCATCCTCAACGGGGCATCGCAGCGTTTCTCCACGTCCAGATTGGTAGACAGATTTGAAAGCTTCATAAAGAATCACGAAACTAAATTAGCGTCGATAAAAAAATCTCTAGAGTCCTCTCTGCGGATCGCCAAGTACGAGTTGCGGTGGTTTAACGACACGTTGAAATCTATTGTTCCATCGCTGCGTGATCTTACCAATGACAAATCCAATTATCGCCAACTCGAGAATATAAAACCCACAAAATACGAGATTTACATCAAACCTAATCTCGAGGTGGAAAATTTCACGTTCAACGGAAACGTGACGATCGAGGCTGACGTTGAATCTCCGACGTCGCAGATCGTTCTGCACTCGGTTAATATCACGCACAATTCGCTGACCTTAATGGCGAACAACAAAATACTGAAAGATTTTAAGGAGAATACAACCATGAGCAAATACGACTTCTTCATAATCGATCTCGCACAGGAATTGGCCGCTAATACGAAACTGACTATCAAAATCGAATACACGGGCTATATGAATCCGCCGGAGCTTCGCGGCTTCTACAAGAGCTCGTACACAGATGAAAACCAGAGGTAACGTTACATATACATCCGCTCAAAAACAATGTAACATTTTTGTCTCTTTCTCAAATGTTCTCAAAGAGAGAAAAAATTTTTTTTATATCTTACCATTTCTTTTACTGAAAATTTTATTTCTTTCGATAATTGACGGTATCTCTCATATATTATGCCTTAGAACTAGATGGCTCGCGGCCACGCACTTGGAACCCGTCGGGGCGAGAAGAATGTTCCCTTGCTTCGACGAACCCGGACTGAAAGCGAAATTCACTCTTCACGTTATTGTACCGCCAGGTTACAGCGCTTACAGCAACATGGAGCGAAACACAAAACTGTAAGCGAATAAAATCAGAATTTTATTTGTTTCTTTTAGTTTTCTGTCGTGTTTTGTTTTCAGAGAGTCGCCAAAAAAAAAAGTGATTCTTTTTCGATATTTCGTGATTTTTTTCCAAACACGTAAAATTTGTTTTCTCATCGTGTTTTACTTAAACTACCGCTGTACAGATACGCTTTCTGATTGATTGTTTTTGCAGCAACAACAATTCCGTGTACAGCTTCCACGAGTCGGTGAAAATGTCGACGTATTTGGTGGCGGTTATCATTTCCGATTTCAAGATTGCGAGTAACATTACGAAAGGTAGGGAATATGGAGTGCTCGCACGGCCCAACGCCATTGATCAATCGTCTTACGCTCTGTCCGTGATGTCGCCGCTCGTTAATTTCTTCGAAACAACGTTCGGCCAACCGTATCCAATCTCGAAGCTGCACATGGCCGCGCTACCGGATTTCCCGTCGGGCGCGGGAGAAAATTGGGGATTGTTAACGTACAGAGAATCGAATTTGTTGTTCGACGAAGATCATTCGTCGATTATGAGCAACCAAACCATCACAAACGTGATCGCCCATGAAATTTCCCATCAATGGTTCGGTAATCTGGTTACACCCACGTGGTGGGATTATCTGTGGTTGAACGAAGGATTTGCCAGATACTTCGAGTATCACGCTCCCGCCCGGGTACGTAATTGAGAAATTACTTTATCAATGTGACATTGGATTTTTTTTAAGCGCGACATTGACTCTTCTCGTTTTACAAATAAATATATCTTTTTTTTATATAAAAAAATAAGAGGATAATATAAAAAATATAATGTAAAGTTGTTGAAAACGCTTTCCTATCTTTTTTTTTTTTTGTATATACGAGTAATATTTTTCAATCTGTTTTATATCTATATTTTGCAGTAACAATTAGAAATGTTTTACAACGAAAACATGATTTTTGCGTAATAAAAATGTTGTAACACATCTGATACGTGAGAAGAAAACATTGATTTGCTCGATTACTTTTTAGGCGTTGAACAATTCAGTAGCGGAATCGCAATTCGTTGTGAACGTATTACATTCCGCGTTGGGAGCGGACAGTTCGACGTCCGCGCATCCATTGAATCACCATGTGAACAGTCCCGCCGAAATTCGAAGTAAATTCGACACGATTACTTACGCCAAAGGTGCCAGTATATTGCGAATGATGGAAAAAACATACGGAACGGAAGTGCTGTACGAGGCGTTCAGATATTATCTCGAGAAAGGGTACTTTTTGATAACAATAATCTTTTTCTTTTAGACTGCAAGTATTTTTTTTTATTTCACAGCTGGATAGATTGTTTGATTTTAGTCACCGGTTGTGTCGAGCGCGTTAATCGGGTCGGTGATTTTTTAATATAAATATATAGATGCACGTATATATATATATATATATATTTTTTTTTTTTTTTTTCAAAATAGTGCACAGATTGGCGCACGCTCTGAGAGAAAGAGAGAAGTTCGATTACAAAATCTCTAAAAAGTGATTAGTTTTTACATTCTATCCTAGTGCGACTAATTAGTTCAAATTTTCGTAATTTACAAATTTTGTAAATGACGTGAGAAATGTAATAATAAAAACCTGATGTGGAAGAACGCAAACGAATAATACGTAAAATTGTAGAAAGTACAATTCCGTCACGCCGAAGGATTTATACGAGGCGTTGCAAGCGCAAGTGAAGGACAGGCACGATGTCACGGCCTATTGGGACAAATGGACCACTCAAGCCGGCTATCCCGTTGTTCAAGTCCAGGTCACGGTGTTTAACAATATGACTAACATATCTTTGACACAAGAACGTTTTTATCTCAAGAAACCCGAGAACAATTTTGACAATGATTCCGATGTATGGACCATTCCGATCACGTGGGTGCTTTCCGATCAATTGGATTACGCTGACACCACGCCGAAGTTGTGGTTGACAACAAAATCGCTGACGTATAATATACCAGGCACATTTATGCTACTCAACAACAGGCAATCGGGTAATTAGAAAACAACAAAAATTTGGAAATTAAGATTCTAAAATGTGCGCGTCACCTTGCGCTCGCCATTTCGAGAATTCGCGTAAGCGCGAACGTTTGTGTGTTTTTTTTTAGGATATTACCGCGTGAATTACGAGCACTATTACTGGCAAACTCTGATCAACCGTCTCAAGAGAGATTACAACACTATCCACGAGATCAATCGCGCGGCGTTAATTGATGATCTTTTTAATCTTGCAAGAGCAGGCGATGTTGATTACTCATACGTTATATCAGCTACAGAGTACTTAAGACAAGGAGAGGACACCGATTACCTTCCGTGGCTCGCATTCTATAACAATCTTCCTTATTTGAACGATCGTTTTCGGGGAGGCGTGGTGGAAAATCTGTACAAGGTAGATGGTTTTCTTATTGCTCTCGAAAAAAACCGATATTTCTCAGCTACAATTTTATTATACTATGTTTTTTTTTTTTTTTTTTGTTTTTCTTTAAGTTACGACGCTCTTTAATCGCTCTTTTATTTTACAATTTGTATTTACTCTAACGCTCTTTCAAGAAAAAGTAACAAACAATTACGTATCAGACCAGAAAATATTACTTAAAAACTATGTGAAAAATGTTTATATTTTTCAGAACTATATAGCATCGGTTATCGAACCGCTTTACGATCAAATGGACTTCGATTATAAGAAAAAGAAGAACAACAAAGAAAATTTGTTAAAAATACACACCTTCAAATGGGCCTGCGAGTTCGATGTAGCAGACTGCAAATACAGAGCTCTGAGATATTTCAAGGATCAGTATAGGAGGAACATACCGTAAGTTTTGTTTCAAAATTAATACACAAGTTCTATGTTTCTGTTTAGCACAAGATTTGCGCAAAGTGCGCGTTGCGAAATCCCTGATGCTGATTATGATAGTCGTGAAAAATTTACAAAACTATAACACACAGATTTACAACACGAAACACTATTAGATGTGATTTCAAATTGTCTGATTGTTTTTTCCTAAAGAGTACCACCAAATTATCGCAGCGTCGTTTATTGCACGGCAATGAAGATGGACGTTACAAACACCACTTTCACGCTGCTATGGAAGGAATATTTAAAAAGCAATGTCGTCTCAGACAAACTTGTGATTCTTAGTTCGCTGGCGTGTTCACAAGATAGACAAATTTTAGAAAAGTGAGTCGCTATACAAAAGCAACAAGTTTTCCTCGTCTATTACGTAGACGCTCGCTTTTGCAAATGCTTTTGACATTCGGTAATACAACTTATTAAGTTTATATGTGTGTGTGTGTGTTTAAATCACAAGGTTGTTACTGGACGCGATCAAAGAGGATCATATACGCTATCAGGACAACGCGAAGGTATTCTCGAGCGTTTACGGTGCGAGTTCAGTTGGCGTTGAGGCCGTCATAAATACAATTCGAAATCACTACGATCTCATGCTGCGTCAAAAGTACGTAATCCCATTTTCAATAATACCGATGAAAAATCTAAGCGCGCAACATTTTTATGCATCTGTGTACACAACGTGAAATTTTGTTTTTCGACAGCTACAACGATTACAAGAAAATCGCGACAATAGTAAATAATCTAGCGAGCAAAGTATCGACCGACAATCTCTACAGTCAGGTAGTTTTTCATTTTGGTTGATTTTTAAGATCAAAAGACAACTTTTGAGAGCAAATTTCTGTTTATAGAATTTCGTTAATCAATCGATATCCGTTCAAACGAAATCTTTGACTTCCAGTATCAAGACTTACTCGACTGGCTGGTGGAGAATAAACCGGAGTTCCTGAAACATGTCAGATCCTATATAAAGAAAGCGAATTATGAAAGAGAATGGTATACTAAAAACGGACCGATAATTTACGGAGAACTGGATCGACGAACAAATCCAAATCTCTGGACGTATCGCTTGTCGGACACACTTTATCCGGAATGGTACAACTTGAGCATAAAACCTAACATCGCGAACGGAACCTTCCAGGGAAGCGTGAAAATATGCATGACACCTAAGAACAAGATAGAGACTGAACCGTACCTACTTCTTAATGCTCATAAAAATATTCGTATCAAACAAATACGAGTCTACACTAGTTGCGAGCCGGGATCTCCGATTAATCCGATAACTGGTTGGGCTAAAACTTCCGAACATGAAATAATAAAGATATTTGTGGAACAGTTTATATCCGGGGAAAGGATAAGCTTGGAAATCGATTACACTGGAATTATTCGCGACGACATGAAAGGATTATATCGCAGTTCCTATTTCGACAAGTCGGGAAAGCAACAGTGAGTTGTGTGTGACGTTATATTTATTTATTTATTATTTATTATCTAGTTATTTATTTAGCAAGAACGTAGGCGTGAAATCGACGACGTGACATTATTGTGACAAAAATGTTTGATTTGTTAAAGAACGTGACTTCGCGCGACTGCATATTTCTCAATTAATCAAATCGAACTTTCAACTGTTGTTGACTTCTGTGTCGATCTTTACAGATGGTTATTCGCGACGCATTTCCAGCCTACGTACGCAAGACGAGTATTCCCGTGTTTCGACGAGCCGAGATTTAAATCGCTATTCACAATTAACATTAGAAGACCGCGCGACTACATCACGCTAAGCAACATGCCAGCGTTGGAACGTAAATTGAACGAAGAGTAAGTGTGTGGACAGAAATTTTATATATTTTGAATTACCACCGCGTTTACACGCACGCGCTTTTACAATCATCAGAAATTGCGTAGAGACCTGATGCTCGCGCGTACTCGGTCTTTATTTCGGCGATTTTGGAGCTACTCGAAGATTCTGTGCCAGCTTCGAAAATTTCAAAGTCGAAAAAAAAACCGTTTCGCAGAGGCCGAATATCGATTTAAAACCTCCCTGTCAAGGAATTGTAGAGCTCTGATGCTCGCGCGCACAGAACTGTCTTTAGAATTTTCATTCTTTTCTGACTTAAGAACAAAATTAACTTCGTTTGTACGTTTTTAATTGTTGCCAGAGACTACGTATGGGACGTATTCGAAGAAACAAAGGAAAATGCGAGGATGCCAACGTATCTGGTGGCATTTGTGATCTCCAAATTCACTTCTACGGATACCGACAAGAGAGTCAGAGTAGTGAGTAGACCTGAATTCAAGGAGTACGTCAATTACGCTCAAGAGATCGGCACGAAGCTTCTTAACTCGTTGGAAATTTACTCACTTGTCGAATATCCTCTGAAAAAACTAGATCTAGTTGGAATTCCAGATTTCGCTATGGGCGCGATGGAGAACTGGGGCCTAGCTACCTTCCGGTAATGTATTCTTTTTCAGTTAAGAGAATTTCAGAATCACGTCGCTTTAAATTAAAGAATTGCTCTCGTTACTTTTTTTTTTTTCATTAATTTTGTAAAAATTTTCTTATGTAAATTACTTGTGTCAACATATCGTACGATCTCTTTAACAGCGAACATTTGCTTTTCCACGACGAAAACCAAGTTTCAGCCTCTTCCGAAATCTCCATAATGACTACAATAGCGCACGAACTTTCTCACATGTGGTTCGGGAATTTGGTTACTTGCGAATGGTGGGAATACATTTGGCTTAACGAAGGTCTCGCGCAATACATGCAATGGCACATTTTTGACTTGGTACGCAACAACTGTGATATTTAATTGACGAGGGTCATTTTGCAACTTTCAATAACAATATAATAATTGTATCGCGCTTATTTTCAATCCACTTTCATTAGGAACTTGTGCAAATATCCGATAATTTAACTTTCTCTCTCTCTCTCTCTATTTGTTAATTCATCTTTCTCAAGTGTATTATTTAAAAAACTGAAAATATATAATTTTTAAATTAATTATAAAAAATTACAACCTATATACAGGATTTTTGACACAGTCGAAGATAATGAATATTAATAAATATCAATTAATTAACAACTTAATCAATATTGCAAATTTTGCAAATTGGTTCATGACTTTTCTGTTCAGATTCTGATCTAATCTACTTTCACACTTCCGCTGTGTCAAAAAGCCAGTTTCGGACACCCCGTATATAATCTGTATATAAACGAAATAATAAATAGCAAATATGTGTATAACGACGAGACATAAAGTGTTCTTCGCGGAATCATTTTAGATACACAAAACTCACAAATATTCGGAACAATTCGTGGTTTACGAGGTACAGTCCGCTCTGCAGAAAGACACCTACGCCACGCATGCGATGACAAACGCCGTTACAACACCTAAAGAAATCGACAATATTTTCGACTATGTGACTTATGGAAAATGTACGTGTTGATCAGAGAGATCTCTGCTGAATGCGCATATATGCGTTTCTCTTAAAATTCAGTTTGCACTTTTTAACATTTTAGCCGCGTCTGTCCTACGGATGATATTCGAAACACTCGCTCCTAAAATCTCTGGCACAGGATTTATGCTCCACAATTATTTAATCAATCAGATGAGAAACAACGGTTTAGCGAGACCTTCGGATTTGTGGAAAGTGTTGGATTTGTATTACGGACCGATAGAAATTAAAAACAGACGCGTAAGCGTCGAGGAGGTAATGAACACTTGGACCAATCAAATTGGATATCCCATCGTACAAGTTGAACGCGTTGGCTTCGTCGTAAAATTGCGTCAGGTAACATACAAGTATATGTTGCGATAATGGCAATAATTTATAACACGAAACACAAATTTGCGTATTATATCGCGTATCACCGACTTCAAAATTTTCAATTTAATCGAATATATATATATATATATTATGTCGTAGATACGCTTCAAATCACGCTTTTCTTTAGTTCCCTTTTACTGGATACCAATTACTATTTATCTTCCTCAAAACGCTGATTACCTCATTCCGAGAAATAAACTATGGCTAGGACCGGAACCCGAGTCCGCTCACATCGGTACCGTGAACGACGTGTTCATCGTGAATTATCAGCAAGTCGGATTCTACCGCGTCATGTACGATCCCGATTCTTGGGCTAATTTGATCAACGAATTGAACAGCACGAGCTTCGAGTCGATTCACGTTTCGAGTCGCGCTCAAATTATCGACGATCTCTTTTCGGTGACTCGCATTATATTGCACACCTTCACATCCTACGAGACAGTGATGAACGCAACAACGTATTTGAAACGAGAAACTCATCATTTGCCATGGAAAGCGTTCTTTAACGGCATGTCCCATGTCTACGAGAGATTCGAAGGCAAACGATACCAGAATACTCTTAGACGTTACATTTTGACGTTAATGTTCGATTTATACGTCAAATTAGGCTTTTACGATCGAGCCGACGACGATCATCTAACGAAATTAAACAGAGAGTTGATTCTTCAGTGGGCCTGCAAACTCGATAATCAGGATTGTGTCCAACAGTCCGTGCGGATGTTCAATTCTTGGATTATCGAGAACAAAAGGTAATTAAGAAAATCATTGAAACCAAAACACAGTTTCGAATTTTTACATGGACACCTCGTTTCGAGAAAATAATTATATTATACAAATATAATTAAATTATATTATAAATATCATTAACATTGAGTTTTGTCAAGATAAATCTATTGACACATTTTTAATGTTAAAATATATTGTTGCTTTATATACGCGAAATTTTGACAAAAAAGAGAGAGTTTCTCCCAATCGTTTTCTTCAACAGCGTTCCACCTAACGCGCGACAAGCTGTTTATTGCACCGCAATAAGAAAATCAAACTCGACTGATGAGTGGTACCGATTGTGGGACAGATACACACAAACGAAATACCCGCCGGAGAAGAAGATCATGATCAACGCGCTCGGATGCTCGATGAAGGAAACGGTGCTCCACACGTAAGCTCTATAATTTGAGAATATATGCATACAATCAATTTGCTTTTATGTTATACTTTTGAATAACTCGACGGGTTCTCGAACAATTTGCCATAGCTACCTGGAAACAGCGATCGAGAATCCCTTCGTCATTCGCAAACAAGACGCCAGGGCGGTATTTACTTCCGTATACAGCGCAAGTCAACTGGGAGTTAATGTAACGCTCGATTTCTTGATAAACAACTTTCAAAAAGTCTCCGCTTTGTAAGTGTCACTAAAGCGCACTGATAAGATAAAAAAAATTCTCACAGAAACATCCGCAGATAATTTTTTGTTTCTTTTTTTGACAGTTTCGGTATGTCCAATGTTCTAACTTTGTTCCAAGAAGTAGCATCGCACATAACGACCAAGGATCAATATGACAAGGTGTGCGTTGTATTTAAAATATACATATTTATATAAATTTTATTGAGAGAACTGAAAAAGAAATTTTAGAAGTAAAATAAAAAAAAGGGAAAGTAAAATTACTGTTTCTCTTTCAGTTAAGGTCCGTCGAAGGCATACAAGGCATACAACCCGCTCTTGAAGTTGCGGAAGAAAACTTGGATTGGTACCTTAATAGAGAAGGTTACTATATTGAAAGATGGTTAGAAAAGTATTTTGTCACGCCAAAGAATAATGAAGAAGATGATGATGATGATAGACGTGGCAATGTTTCTGTAAGAACAGAATCAATCAGTGTTATTTTCACAATTTTTGTTACTCTGATATCGTACTTTTTCGTTACTTTGATATTGTACTAAGCTAAACGAAAACATCCGACATTGATCATCCTGCGGAAGATAATATACATATATCAAAAACTTTTATTTTTGTAATTTATATAAGAATGTAGTGTCTCTCTCTCTCTCTCTCTCTCTTTATATTCCCGATTTGCGTTTGTGAACAAAAATTGAAAACAACGAAGATGTATCTTTTTTTGCTTGTTTATTGAAAAATACAGTAACACACGTGATAAAATCTATACAAAGTGACTCAGTTTTTTTTTTTGTTAATTCTGTTAATTAGTTTTCAACGTTTTTCACACAAAAAGCAATATAATAGTGTATTCTTTTTTGTTTTTCGATTATATTTTTGTTTGTTGTCTCTGTTATATAACACGTACATGTAACACGTAATAATACACTATATGTGTGTTGTATATATAATATACATATAATATGTAATAAAATACATGCATTCACGTCCGCACACTGCGAATCTTCATATTGAGTAATTAAACGCGTTTCGTCGCACGTAAATTTTATATATTTATCAACGTTCGCTGCGTGTTAGGTTCGCAACGTATCGAAACTGGAAGATTCTTTGAGAATCTGCGTAAGTACATACATAAGGTGGTATATTAACTCATGCTACATAGACTTTTTTAATTTCTTAATAAACTCTTTTTAATACATGTACATATATATATATGTATATATATATATATATATATATATATATTTGCAATCATACAAACCTTCTTATTGTCTTCATATGCGTGAACAAGTAAATCTCTAATTGATTTTAATGTGCATCGTATATTAAACGTTTCAACATTCTGATTTTGTTAACGGGAGTTATAATGAGTATCGTCAATTGCTTATTTTTGATTTAATAGAATTAGATTGTTAAAATAATGTTGTGTATGTATGTGTACATGTACATATATATATATAACGTATAGTTTATATATTGTTTATATATATACATACACATAGAGTATGTGTTTTGCTATTTTGTTTACAAACATGTGTATCCTCTGATGTGAGCGACTTGACTCGTCATTTAATTATCTCACGTTATCTTACACAGCGGATGTGTTATAACATTTTTTTAAATAACGAAATAAACGAGGAATTGCCTCAGAGGTTCAGACTTGGTATATCCAGATATGAAGATTATGAAGAAAAAGGGCTTTGCTGAACTTATATCCAGGTTGATTTGCAAATGATCCAAACAAAACAAATTTATATGTTTTACAAACATTTTTTTTAATTGCAATTGAGTTCGTTCATATCCGACACACACAAACCAAATGCTTCACTAATTATTACGAATATGTATATACTGCGAGAACGAGGAATGTTTCAATAAATTAGCTATCGTCTTATTAATCCAATAAACGTACACTAATTTTTATCCCAAACGTGAGATTTTCTGCGTTTCTTCGTCGAGATACGCACAATAAAACTTGTTTCAGACTTCTAGAGTGTAATAATAAAAAATAATCGTGACTCTCCCCCTTTCTCGAGAATCCACGACAAAGATCTGTGTCGACGAGATTTATAAGAACGTTTTTTTTTTTTTTTTCGCTCTTCTCTCCCGCTCTTAAAACAACGTAATTAATCTCTCGCACACATTTGGCGCGGAGTGTGATTTAAAAATTATAAAACACCGAAAAAAATCTTCCCACGAGACGCGGCAGTCCCGTCACAAATATCATGTGTGTGATATTTACATCAGATACGTACAAAAACGCGCGAAAATAGATTATTTGAAAATAATCTATTTCGCAATTACGTTTTCCCGCGTCGTCTGCAACACGAACTTAGATTTGTTGCGACAAATTCGGGCGAGAAAATCAATTTTTTCACGCGCGCGGTATCTCGTTTCGGGAAAACGTCGTTATCTCAAGAAATTGAATTAACGTGGAAGACCGACTATATATAATTTTCTGCCAACGTCTGTCATTACGCGGTGTTTCTCTCCAACCAGTCGCGAATCGTCGCGTGATTGCTGTCAATCCATCGTACGTTGGCTTCCGCTTGTTCCAGCGCCTGCTGTATGGTTCGCCTCGCGCTGCCGAACTCGTTCACGTGTTCCTTCGCGAATTCCAACAGCTGGAAAAAACAAAAAAAAAAAGAACAGAGACATAGACGTCGCGAACAAGTGGAAAAAACAAAACACAATGACGTATGTCGCTTCTCGAGTGTTCAACTTACGTCTTTGTATTCGTATCTCGTACTTATGCCTCTGGTTGACGACTTGACGATGTTAGTGATGATCAGTAACGACGTTCCAAAGCTGAAATTTGACGGAGAATCTCATGTTGAGATCGGCGTTCACAAATTGACATTCCCCGATCCGAGAAATCGAATTATATAGCGATCACTTGTATTCAATGCACTTACTACTCTTTGAGTCGCGCCCATTTGTTTCTGAAGTAATCGAACGCGAGCGGCTGACCGATGGGATTGCTGGCGACCGACGCGAAGACTCGATTCACGTCCTGTTTTCTGATACCCGAATTTTTCGTCAGCGCCCAATCCAAGTATCGATTGAGCAGCCAGATTTCCCTCGTGCAGCCCAACGCTTGCAAAAGCAGATCCTTCTCCGAGCCCACGTTGGTGGCTCGATATCGCTCCCAGGCGAAGTCCCATTCGGTCTGTCCGCCCACCCGAATGGCCGTGCAGTAAACGACACCCTTCAAGTTCGGCGAGATCCTGAAACGTTTTTTTTTTTTTTTTCGTACAAAAACGTACACACGCGTGTGTGACTTTTTTCCATTAATTATTTTTCGAGTAGAGAAGAATTTGTGAAACGATCAATATCGCGACACGTGTCGACGCGAGCGAAGTACGTAACTTGATCGCGTCGAACAAGGTCGTTCATAAATAATTCAGAAAGCGATTGATTATTACAAATCTGATCTTATTTCGACGTGGCCGTCACTTACGGATTGTTGAGATCCGGATTGGGAGTGCGACGCCAATTGTTGAATTGTTGAACGGCGTTGGTGACGCAGTCCTCGTGACCGAACATGCACGCCCAATTCAGAACGTTAATTCGAGTGAAGACCTTCAGCTGGGGATCTTTCATTTTGTCGACGAAGCCGACTTGCTTGTACACGTTGTCCAACAGTTTCAACACGTACACCTGGGAGAAATATTAGTAGATTGCGTGTTACATTGTTATAATCCGCTCGTTCTCACGAGGATTGCATCACATCGCATCATCACGTGCCAGCTAATTAACTTTTGTGTAAATTTTGTATCACGTGCGCGCACCGCGACAGAATGTAATTTACATTATTACGTGTTTATTATTCATATTAACTTACTCGAATCGTAGCATGTAAGAAACAAGGCAATTGTCGCATAATTTTGAAAATAATACCCGGTAAAAAATTTTTCACCACACACACACATATATACTTATATGACACAAATTAAAATAATTATATCTAATTATGCAAATTTATATGTGCCGAATATATGTCCATACAATTTTATACACGGAGAATTTTTTTTTAAGAGAATGGCTTCAGAGATATTCCATATCAAATTAGAAAATAACTCTATTAGTATCGTGTTAGATACAAAAAATTATATAAAACTATATTTTTACTATATTTTTAAAAAAGTTTTGATATATATAATCATATATACTTATACACAAATTAAAATTATTATATCTAATTATGCAAATTTATATATATATATATATATATATACCGAATATGTCCATACAATTTTATACATAAAAAATGTTTTACCGGGTATTCAATAAGACTAGAAAAAAAAACAGAATTGTATACCAATTATATTAAAATTACGAAAAAGGTTTCGAAATTTTTGAAATAAATGTATTGTTTGACCAACCCTAAATTTGTCGTAACCCTGCTTCTTGAGCAGCATATCGTTGAGATAGTTGAAGGCGTTGAGAGCCGCTTTCCAGGGCAAGTATTCGATTTCATGAGCCAAGTAAGATGTGACGTCGAAAGCGATGGTGTAGTCCAGCTTGCCAGCTCTGGCGAAATTGAGAGCGTCGTCGATCAATTGCGCACGATTTATCGTCGAGATGTCTTTGAAATTCTGCTTATTCAATTGCTTGATTATCATCTGCCAGTTTGTTCTGTCGTAATTTACTCTGTAGTAACCTATCGAATAAATAAATATATTATAGAAAAAAAATACGTTTAAGTTTAAATACTGATAATATGAGAGAGAGAGAGAGAGAGAGAAAGAGAATGTTCACAATTAAAAGTAATTTAACTTTAATCGGCACTTAAACCGATTTCCAAACAAATATACTTCCATGTCGCGCGAAAAGAAATAAAATGGATTAAAAAAAAAAAAAAAAGTAAAAACCGCAATGTCATTTCTATCAAAAACTAGTCTAGCGATGTGATTACCGGTTTCTTGCACGTTGAAAATCACCCACTGAGACGAGTTTACGTCCAAATCGTTTAGGGTGATCGAGCGTTCCGCTTTCATCCATTTCATGGGTCGGGTGTTATTAAAGTTTAATTGCTTCTCGCTTGTGTAAGTAATGGGTATCCACCATAATGGCTCGAACGGCGATGTGGTGACCACCGTGCCGCCACTATGAAGCAGGAAGCGTTCCTACGTGGAATAATTGATGCGTGTAATGCGGTTATAATGATGCTTAAAACTTGAGATTGCAAATTATTTCTTAGTTGAAACACTTCTTTGCGGCAACGTTTTACACGTTGTAAAAGCGTTATTAAAATAAAAGAACAACGTAAGCAGCGAACGCGCGTAAAGTCAGACGGTGTGCGCCGCTTATTACTTGTTCCTCAATTTTTTTTTGTTTTAATCGCCAACATACCTGCGTTAACGTTACGCTATTGGCGTTGTAATTTCGCGTGACCGTGACTACGGGAAAGCCAGTTTGCAGAGTCCAAGTGTCCATGATCTGTTTGACGTTTACGCTCGGGTCGAGTATCTTGTCTTTGTGAGCTTGTTTGGTCAAAGCGTGCCACAGATCGTTTTGCTCGGCACTTTGGTAAGCTCTGGCGATTATACGGAAGTAGTCAGTTTTGAAATGCCGATCTCGTCGATTTTTTTTTATATTCTTACATCGTTATAGAAAGAAAATACGCGCGGTAATTGTTGCGCGCATCTCGCAAGAGATTGAAACAATGAAAGTTACGTGTTGCTCAATTTTCACTCACTTTTCGTTCAAATAATTCGTCAAACCTTGCTTGAAAACCTCCGTCGTGAGAAAGTGGTCCATCATTCTTATAATAGACGCGCCTGAACAATTTTAGTAAAAATGATTATCAATATTCGTTCTAGTGTATTTTACGTAAAAGAGTCGTCGAATACCTTTCGAGTAAGAGATCGAGTCGAAAATTTCACTGATCTCATCGGGATGACCGACTTCAATGGATATGGGATGAGACGACTCAAGGGCGTCCGCGCCGAACACATTTTGAAGATCATGGACGACAAATTGTTCCAGAACTTTCCACTCAGGTTCTACCTGAATGATTTTACGTTAAAATTTTTATGATGAGAGATGCAAAAAATAGCGAAATAAAAACGACGTATTTTGTATGCGTCGCGTCTCGTCAACCATTTCTCGATGATTTTGAGCAAAGTCGACGCGTTAATTATCGCTTGAACGGCTCACCGAGTCCATGCCGATGTGTTCGAGATAACTGGCGAAACCTTCGTTCAGCCAAAGGTCCGTCCACCAACTCGGAGTCACTAGGTTTCCGAACCATTGATGCGCGAGCTCGTGAGCCACCACGGTGGCCACTCGCTGCTTGCTGCTGCTGGTGGATACGCCTTCTTGGTACAACATCGCCGTCTCCCTAAACCATCGGGAAATTATTTTTATTTGACGATAAAAAAAATTCCAAGTCAACCTTATCGGATATAAAGCAAATATCGCAAATTTTGCCGATATATTCTTACCTATAAGTTATCAAGCCCCAATTTTCCATAGCGCCAGCAGCGAAATCGGGTATCGCGACCATATCCATCTTCGGCAACGGGAACTTGATCTTGAAGTAATCCTCGTAATACCTGAGTATCCTCGGGCCGATGTTCAAGCTGTAGTGCGACTGATTAATGGCGTCGTGGCGCGCCCAGACTTTCAAGTTGCCGTCCTCCGATGTCAAAAAGTCCAGGTCGGAAACTATGAAGGCCACCAGATACGTGGACATCGGTACCGAACGCTCGTAATGATCCCACACGTACGTGTGTATGCCGGGGCTGAGTAAAAGCGAGAGTATCGTACGTAAAAGTGTTGTTTTAAAAATTATTTAATTACGTGAATAATAATTGACAATTATGTTAATAATACAACGCAAACAATAATAATTATGTAAATAATAATAACTTTCATGTAAATCGGCTCCCTCAAAGTTAACAAACAGCCTTTCACGTGAACCTAAATATAATTAGAGAAGAGATAATTAGGGAACAGATTATAATTTATCCACAAATAAATGAAAATCAACAGCAGAAATAATGTACTTATTTTTTTTTTTTTTCAATATAAATCTTCGTGTTAAATCAGTTAATAAACTTTTACACGAAGAAAAAATTAGGGAACGGACAATTTATCTGCAATAAAAATCAACAGCGGAACTTTCGCGTATTTTTTTTTTCCTTACAATAATACGGGAAACGCAAAAAAAAAAAAAAAAAACCAGGATTACTCACACTGCCGTAGGCTCTCCCCTTCTGGGCATGTTTGACATAGACGTCATATTTCTGGGACGCGCGATGTTGATCTGGAATCTGGCTTTCAGTGCGGGCTCGTCGAAGCACGGAAAGGCACGACGGGCGTCCGTCGCTTGAAACTGAGTCGACGCGATCCATCTATAATGCAAAAGACCGAGATATATTCTTTGACGAACAGCACCGACATGTGAGAGTTCCTTTCTGTGCTCGAGCTTTGTGCGTCATCCAAACACGCGAACCGCAAAGCGAGAGCGAGAAAGAGTAGAAGGAATTATTCACGGAATAATCACTCCGGCTACGACTTCAATCGAGATACGCCGACGAGACGCGGCGGCGGTGTCAATTTAAAAGAGACAATGGTAATTAAAAAAAACGCGCGATTATGGAAACCCCCCTCGAGAGGGGGGAGTTTAATTTCAGATTGAAATTTCTCACGCCGGTGTAATTTTCCTTGAAATTTCACTGGCGTTTACCTCGTCTCGGTCCCGACCATGTACGAACTCCTGTAGAAACCTTGCATGTAATCGTTGAGAGTGCCAATGAATTTAAGATGCAGCACGTACTGCTTGCCGCTCTTCAACGTGCTCGATGTTTTAATCACGTGAAATTCTCGCTCGGTGTCGTTCCTCTGCTCCGCGATACCGATTGATTTGGTCTTATTGCTGCCGGCCAAGATTTCCCCGATGTTCGTGGAACCCTCGTCGATCTTCAGATCGACGGCGTGCAGCGTGACATTGCTCGTGTCCGTCGTCACGTTCATCAAAATCTTCACCTGAACAAAATCGACTACGATATTTTCATTTTCTCTATTGCGAGTTTTCTTTTGTTTTTTTTTTAAAGAAAAACATGCCGATAACAGGTTCAAGATAAGTATCTGGCTCGCATATCTAAGTACACACACACAAAGTTTTCCAACTGAGCGCATTAGTATGCTCGAGAACACTTGGAGGTTTCAAGCGTTTCTGCAAAAATTCAAGAGAGTTTTCAAAAGTAAACCAGTTTTTTTTTTGTTTGCTCCAAAAAAAAATCCAGGCCATGCGTTTGAAGAGCATGCATTCTCACCCCGCGGTGTAAGAACGTTTTTCGGGGGAACTCTCAAAACAGTTCCGGAAGAAAGTGAGGAGAACGAAACTTGGAAAGAGGTAAGATCGGAATCATGAGATCGTGCGGTTTCGTTTCTATTTTTCCTGTGAATCCGACGATATGTAAAAGTGAACGTTGCGCCTTCGCAATTAGCTTACGTGCAAAATTGTTTAATCGAAAAGAGTGACTCACAGAATTGTTTCTCTCTCTCTCTCTCGTTATGCTTTTGTTATAATTGACGCGTCTAATGACAGCTAAGAACCAGTTCTCTTAGTCGATAATTCGAAATCGTGAAGTAATCTCATGATGTCTCGAGACAGGAATAAACGTTGACTTAACAGAGTGTCTACAGTAATAAAAAAAAAAGTGATGGTCTACGATAAAATACACCGAAAAAATTATATTCTCGTAAGTAGAAGATTTTACACTTAAAAAATCTTCTTAAAGATTTTAGATGATATTCTTCTGAAAGTATATATATATATATATATATATATAAGAATATATTCTTTATCTAAGAATATATTCTTAATATTTAAGAATATAGTCTTTTTCGATAGTGAGATATATATTTTTTTCTATAGAGACTTTTTATATTCTAATCAGTATATATTCTTATCAATATTACTATTTAGAGGATTTTCCTCTTAAAATAAGAAACTCTTCTTGGCGCCTATTTTGGTATAAAATATACTTAAAGTAAGTGGGATATCCTCAAAACAAGAATACAATTTTTTCGGTGTATAATATTCTACGCACGTATACACAATCACATGTTGCTATAAAAATTCTAAAAAAAATTAAATCACAGTACATCTTTAAAAGAATATTCTAACTTTTTTTTATCCTACACACAAACTTTCGTGTACGTTTAAAAAAAACTGGCAGATTATTTAAAACATACTTGACATTTTGTATTCAATAATTTTTGTACTCACTTATTTGCAAACTAATAATGTCGGTGTGCGATAAGTTCGATCATGTTAAAAAATATTTTCAGTCAACGCATGCAATTTAAAAATAACATTTTCGCGAGATAAAAGTGAAACGTATTTTTTGTTTTTGTTCGTGAACATGAACGTTTAAATAAATCCTTTTTCCCGACATTTCGTCTGGGACACATTACCTCACCGCGGAAGGTGAAGTTGCCCTTCCATATGAAGGGTATCAGCCACAATTCGTACGAATCGGGTACGATGGATCTTGGTAATCTGACGTCTAGTCTCTTCGCCGATCGAGACGTCATCGAGAAATTCTCCCCGATCTGCAAGAGCGAGCGGCCGAAAAAGTCGTCGCATTGCTTGACTTGTTTCTCCTCGAGGCAAGGTGCAAAATGGTATACCAATAATGCGGTGGAGATCACCCCGGCCATAAAAAGCGCACCCAGGAAGAAGGCATCGCACCGAGTTAGCCTCTTGTGTATGCAGCCTCTCTTCCGTCCGAACGTGGTTGTGTGAGCGTGGTTGTCCATCATCGCCAGAACCTCGCGAGATTGACTCATATTATGTGCGTGCCTGGAAAGGAAAAAGAGATACGGGCGGCTACTTCACTAGTCTCTTTTTATTTTCTCTCTCGCCTCTCGCGCCGAGTTAATTGCGTAACACGCGGTTTTAAAAGTGTTTTTTTAAACGTTGTATTTCTCTTCATCTTCTACGCTCGCGTCGTCAACCTGCTCCAATCGACTATCACCGCATCTCGCAACAAAGCAAATAACGAATGTAGAAAAAATTTATTATTTGTTTGAGCAGAAAAAACAAATTATTTCTTTTCGTTGCAACATTTTCATCGCGATGCGAAAATTTATGTGACAAGACGGAAGTCGGTCGTTCTCGCAATGATAACAGAACATTTGCAAAGATATGATGTGATAACAAAACAACTTTTTTACACGTTCAAGAAGTATCAATTAGTTTTTTCTTAAAAAGAGAAATCTTCTGTTTTCTAAAAAAAAATTATCTTGTTTTTTTCGTTAAATGTTTAAACATATCGGTTTGTTATTTTTCGAAAAATTATGAGATAGACAAATATATTGCGTTACAGAAATTATTGTATCGAGAAAATTTTTTTTTTTTTCTTTCATCGTAAATCGATCGCGGACGACCGATCGTTATTGGAAGTAATTTCACGTTCCGAGCGCTTGGAGCGAGCGTGTCAAGGAAACGCGAATAGCGTGCTTAAACTGATGTAAGGTTCTTGTACCACAGCGATATCTGTCGTGAAGTAATCGTGAAACAATCACAACGCAATCCCACGCATACCAAGCAATGTTTTTGAATAAAAGAGTGCCGTCGAACCGGCCGTGCAAATGAGATTGAAAATTAATCAAAGTCTTTGAACGTCCGATACACACGTACATGTAAGCGATAAATAACTACGAAGCGCACACAAATAAAGTGTCACGTTTAATCTTCCGATCGTTGCTAAAGATCGTGTAACTGTTTGCAAATATTTCAACAACTCTCACGTTCGTTGCCTAATTCGTTTAAGATTTGAATATAAATTTCTGAGTGGAATTCAGCGAATCATTTTCTGCGCGTATTGCTAATTGGATAAAATATCATCCGGCCGTGAGAGACATTGCATAAACAATTTTCTTTTTATTCGCAAAAATTGCTTGTCATACTTTTAATCTTCCGCGTTGCGAAAATAATTCTCGCGAGACTAATAAGTCGCAATAAGTCGTTTTTTACGTCGTTAATAAAAATATGTTATAACTATAGTATAAGATACAATATGCGTGAATGTTTGAAAATGCGAATAAGTATTATTATCACGTGGTTGTATTACCGTTTCAGCAAACGTTTTCTTACGACAGAAGATTTGTCGTGTTTACGTAGAAAAACGATGAAAGGTGATGGCAGATTTCCTGAGACTTAATATGTCGCTATTGTCGCGAAGATATTACACTCTTGCGTAAGGAAGAGGTTACTCATTGTTTCTCTTGACTATGTATAGTCTCACTCATTTTTGTTACTTGATTATTATTCAAGGTTAGTTATTAAATTTATTCAAAGTTATTGAATTTATTCGAAGTTATTCCAAGCATTTCAAAAAAACGCTATGTATATTTACATATTTTTTATATACTTTTATATATTTTTATATATTCACTAATGTATTGCATTAATTTGCACATATATGTATATATATATATATATATATATATTTCGCGGTTTTCTGGGAAATCTATGAAAATTAACAAACACACAAAAAGGTCACTTAATTTTTCGTATTTAAAAATTTTTTTCGAACACAGTCTGGCACTAAAATTTATTTAGCCAGCGCGGTTAGTGGCAACAAATGGCGAATTATATTTGTTAGATTCATTAAATAATTGATAATGTAAGCGAAAGCGCAAATGATATAAAATTTGTGCCATTACCTTCTCCTAGATGACGTAGTTTGTGCTCCGATCGAGTGTACTTTTGTTTAAACAACAACGTCGCAGCTTCATGCGCACAATTTTACACACGATAACAAGACTCTCTCCTCCCGTTCTTATCGTATACGTTAACGTAAAGATCAGATGAATTTTTCGAGTCTCTCAGTGTTTTTCGCGCGCTCTCTACCAGAGTCGATCAATAAAACCGTCTGATTTCTCCTGAGATCCAAATGACGAGGATTCACTTGATATCTCTCTCTGGTTTTAACTTTTTTTTTTTTTTCTTTTTCTATCCTGCGAGATAAGTCACGCCTATCGTAAAAGTCACTGGTCGGCAATCACCAGGATTACATCATTGAAACCGCTCTGTTCCGCTCGACGGTTCGCGCGCGACTGCCAAGGAGCACGGCAGCTTCGTCGCGTCTCGGCTGCCGGTTTCCGTGTGATCGTCGCTTGCGATCACCTATCAGACTTTTCACCTGCCGGATACCGAGTCGGCCGCGTGTCGTCTTCCGGGTCAATTACGGGATACCCGTAGGGTTTCCGGTTTGTTTCAAGGAGCGTCGTCCTGACCGATCGATAACAGGTAGCATTCCGCTCCGTCGCTGACTCGCATCGCTCTCAATTAACCCAATTCCAGGATATCTCGAGAGTTCACCTCGCGTACCCCTCCTTCGTTCCCCACCTCGTCTTCGCAAAGAGATCGTAATCGAAGTCAATCCTCCGAGGAGATGGATTTATTTAATACCGTGCTCTGTTATGTGTTCCTTCGATACTCAAGGCAAAATGGCTCTTCGTGCAGAAGGACGGGGAATTCTCTCAAGTTTATATCTCGGTAAAATATAATGATAAGGAAAATAAAAAGGTAGTTTCTGTGGGAATGTCGATAAAATTTGTTGTCGCTGGCTCTTAACTTTTAATTGAATTTTTAATTACCGTCGTATTTTTTAAAAGATCGTATCATTCAGCAGTTGTCATAAATGTCGCGCATTTTTTGTCTACAGCAGCGAACAATATTATTATTTTTTGAGAGAGAAAGAGGGAGAAAGCAAGAGAGAGAGAGAGAGAGAGAAACACAGTACACTTATTTAAGCGCCCTGCGATATCCCCTCAAGCGCGCACTAAGAGAATTACAATTAAGATAAAGATAAGTGATCAGTACAATAATTATAATACAGGAAGTATAGAAAAAAAAAGAATAAAAAAATAAAATAAGAACAATAATTAATAAAATCAAATGAAAGATTGATTACTGAACACGCACGCGTGAACATATCCACGATGCGGATTAATAAATCATCTAATAATAAAGTAAATGTAATGAACAGAAGCGCAGAATAAAATAAATAAGACGTGAAAAGAAAAAAAAAGAGAAAGAGAGAGTTGTATATATAAAAAAACGTCAAAAATGCAATTTTTACATTTCGATATTTGTCGCACGCGCGCGCGTGAAAGAGAGAGAAACATTAACCTACTGCGTTTGCGATCGCTAAAGTGATTAATCGCTCTTTGAAAGATGGGAGAATAACAAAGCGAACATATGTGGTTTTCCTTGAAAAAGGAATCTCGTTACACATGTAGCTTGAAAACTACTACAAAGTTAGGCTTCTCTCTATCTTTTTCTATCTCTCTCTGATTATTAAACATTATTTTTACACGTGTTTTTAATCTTTTACTTTCTCATTTATTTAATGCGCATAAAATATGTGCCTCCTCTCCGCGCAATCATCTACGATCTCTCACATCTCCCCAACAACGAACGATTTGTAGAAACAACTGTGCAATCAATGCGCGCGCGACTGTTTTTGTCATTAAAAAAAAAGAGAGATTACCGGGGAAACGAAATGTCACCGAATAAAGAGATGCGAGAGCTTTTTCAGTTCGCGCAAACATTACGCTGCGACGCGCACAGTTGGCGAATTTCTCATCTGCTCGCATGTGAGAAGACGCCCAGTATAAACACGAAGAAAGAAAAAACATGTACACGCTCTCTCGTGTAATTCACATGGCTGCAGCTTCTTTCCAACATTGAAAAGTTTCATTTCGCGAGCATTGAAACGTGTCTAATGAAAGAACGTCGCGTTCGTAATTTCACGCGCGGTTTCTTCTCGATCGTCCGAAAATATACGATGGAAAAAAAAAAAAAACGTCAGGAGAAAAAAAAAACACAGATTCGTTTCGAATGCCCATTCCCCGGGTGATAACTTCGATCGTCGCGAAGCGCAACAATAAGATCTCCACCGCTCTCGCGGAAAAATCATATAGATCTCGTTTGTAAAAAAAAAAAAAAAACAAAAACAAACATCGCGCATCTGTGCAAACACATCGCGCGCGCGAGGTGGTGTCGGAAACACACAACATAATTATCTGATCGACACACGCTGTGCAACAACGAATATCATTTACACGTGCAATTGAGACCAGTCTTGTTTAAGCGATCGTCCGTGTTATTACGTGACGAACGGAAACGCGGAAAACGAATCCAAGCGGAAAACGACAATCAATCGACAGTCATCGGGGGATCCGGGGGCGTCAGCGACGGGGTGAGTACCGTCTAATAATCCTGTAAACGGCCATACGGGAATGATTGATAATTGATTTAGGCGAATGAGGGTTCCCTAATTGATTGAAATCATCTGCCAGCGCTACGCCGCGCCGCCCGACGAGCTACGAGCTTGTAGCGCGCCGCGATTTATCACGCACGAGACCTCGCGTTATTGAATCTCCACGCCGCTCTCGCACACACGTTGACAATATGCGAGCGCGAAAACAAATTAACCCAAAGAACTCTGCGCTCACAATCGACCCCCCGGGAATTTTTAAACCGAGCCGCGTTTGACGTGCGTTTTTACGCGCGTTAATAAATAATATACAGAATATATAAACAAATGCGCGAAATAAATATATATAAACAAATTTCTAGAGGATTCGCGTCTCCCTATTTGCAAACTTCAGTCAGTTTTCACAACAGTTTCACAACTTTTTCTTGTACTTTGTTGAACTTTTTATATCAACTTTTTTCAAGATAATTAAATTACATTGATTAACTCGGTGTTTGTTTAATTTTACACAGCGTATTTCTCGAAAATCATAACTTCTTGTTTGATCACTTTCGTCGAAGGAATTAACCCAATATTTGGCGAGAGATTGTCGAGGAAATTCAACATCGCTTAAATCGGAAACGCGAGTTGCATGCTCTCTCGCATTGGTCGGGGCGCAATATCAATTTTTATTCGCGTTGTTTTGGCAACGTTATACCTTATCGCTGTTACCGCGCGATAAGGATAGCGCTGTTTCAACGCGCTTATCGCGGTTTCGTGTATTTTCACCGATTGAATTCCCATGATGGTGGTACGTGAAATTTCTTGTTCTCTCCATAAAGCTCTCACGAGAGAGAGAGAGAAAGAGAAAGAGAGATCCGGGCGAAAATCTGTACCAGACAGACCGCGGGTAATTCTACACCGTGAATGGGATGAAAACAACGGCTCGTCGTATGCCCGCTTGCCTACGACGACGACGACGACGTCTTGTGTTACGTTTCATTGTGCGTCCCGTGGAGGCGCCCAGATAATCGAGCGTGTCGTGGCAACGTAAACGAAACCCGCCCGAGTCCTCCTTCCTTCTCCTCGAGCGAGTCCGAAAATTTCTCGGGCTTCGTCCTAACCGGATGCGGATTTTTTTTTCGACGCTTCCTTCGGGGGGGTGCTACAGGAAGTTCGGCGAGGGAACCAATCTAGCGCACGTGTTTCGTGAGGATCTGAACTTGTTCGCGCGAGAGATGAGATTGCGAAGATGTGACGTGGAGTTACGAGATAGGTTTGAGAAAAAAAAAAAAAAAACGAAATTATTTTGCGACCATAAAATAGTTCCGCTCGTCAAATTCGTTCCATCAACATCCGAACACATCCTGTGTTTCCCGCTCGTTCGCGCGAACACAACGTTCGACCGTTCTCACGTTTAGAATCCGAGAAAATTGTTGCTTAATGTCATCACTCTGACCCTGAAAGCGGAAAGAAAATTTATCTTCACGCCTGGCAGGCGTGAAGATTGTGTCATTACGTAAACGTTCCTCTCTTTCTCTCTCTCTCTCTCTCTCTTACTCACTCGATATTCCGCAACGAAGTCATGAAACAGACACGGAGAGGAAGGTTATAGTTACTACAGTCACACACGCACAATGACAGACGTCATTCTACAGGATAACTGCTATGTAAATCATCACGGAGCGGACGTTCAAGTCGACAATTTAAGGAGGCGCGACGAAGACGTTCTCTCTCTCGGGCTCACTAATTCGTTGCATGCGACGAACACAATACGCGCATTCTTGTTCAATAATGTTCAAACACGTTCTCGTGCCGCACGCGCGTTGCGACATTTTGTGTCTCAATTGCCCCCCTCCCCCGTTTCCTCCGGACGTCGAGTCAAATATATTGCGAACAAAGTGCTGTTCAACTCATCAATTCTTCAACGTATCAATACCGTCGCGCGATCGAGTTACACACGTGTGCGCACATACGTGTATTCGCGTCGTTGCGACGCCGTCCCGGGGGCGATAAATCCGCGTGTTCCCCCCGCAACGAAAATCGATTTACCGCACGAACGTCGCAAAAAAAAAAAAAAAAAATGGAAGACACTCAATCGGGTAGGATTTTTTTCCTTCGTTACACGGGCGTAAAATATCTGCCCGCACGCTGATACGCAACTTGGTGCATTCACCCTGCATTTCCTATTCGCTCTATTATCCACTTGGATCCCGTCCGGCCACCCCCGCGGTTCTACTTTCGCCCGCGTCGTCGTGTGTATAATCGTAAAATAAATCGTACAATCGGATAACGAGAGAGAGAGAGAGAGAGAGCCTCTTCGCAGCCCGAGTGAATAACGCGCGATAACTCGATCTCGCGGAGCGAGCGATCTCTTGCGCGGTTACATCCAACACAGCTGATCCGATATATAACATATATCGACCACCCACACGTCACAATCCGTCTGTCTGTAGCAGACCGATCGCTCTGATTCGCGCACGCAAAATCTCGGAAAAATAAAGAAGAAAATATTTACGTTACGATTCTTCTTCGAGAAACAGAAAGATCGCGTCCCCAATTTGATCTCATCATTGTTCATTCATATAATTAAAATTAATTTTAGTTTTTTTGTTAATTAAATTCTAGCAACACTTCGAGTACGTTTACAATTACATTTTTTACTTTTGTCCGAGGAGACACGTGATTTTTTTTCTTTTTTTTTAAGATTTAATTTAACTCAACAAACGCGAATGTATACACGTGTGTTTTCTCGAACAAATTATTTGACAAAGTGTTTATAAACGGTAATAAAAAGTTGATTCTAAATTGAGATTCTCTCCGTTTCGCGTGCGCGCGAAACAAGATATAATTAACCGAGGTCGTTATATTTATGCAAACAAATG